GAATAAAATATGGCTGATGATTGCCGAAGGGCATGAAACTTTAAGTTCCATCACAAAGTTGTATTTTTTCAAATAATCAAAACTCTTTATATAATAATACTGATCTATTTAGTAAACAATTTACTTAATATTGATCACTCTCAAACGAACAAGAGACTTTGTATCATAATTTGGTACAATAAAACAATATCATATATATATATATATATATATATATATATATATATATATATATATATATATATATATATATATATATATACACATATATATATATATATATATATATATATATACTATATATATATATATATATATATATATATATATATATATATATATATATATATATATATATATATATATATATATATATATATATATATATATATATATATATATATATATATATATATATATATTAGGGCTGTACCGGATTTTTTTCAAATTTTTTCAAATCCGGCCGGAGCCGGATTTGCCGGATTTCTACTGACAGATCCGGCCGGAATCGAAGCCGGAGCCGAATTTCAAAACAAAACTACAAGAGCCAAAATCCTGTACATCCCTAATTGGTGTTGAGCATGGTCAACAATGTGGACAATTCAGAATACCAAGTGACTGCTGTTTTCTGTTAAACTTCATTGTTGTTATTTAAAAAGTTTTATAGCAATTTCTATATATAAATTAACAGAAATTCTAAAGAAATTCTATAGGCCATATGTTTTAAAGGTTTATAGTAATTCTATTGAACTTCTTTTCCGGGATTTTGTCACTCCGCCACTGTAGTGGATCATTGTGTCTATTTATTTCTTTTCAATGCCTTTTAGTAATTGTTGTTTATGTGCCCTGCCACCAGCGGACGTAGACTGAATAATTTTATGAATAAATTGCCAGAGTAATGATGATGATGATGTAGAAAAATTATTAAGCCCGGCTTATTTTGGTGGATTTTCTTCAGTTTTGTCAATCTTCTGTTCAGCATGCTCAGATTGACTTCAATCTTGTTTTTTCAGCTGTCAATGTTGCCTGTAATGAGGAGAATTTAGTTTTAAATTGTGAGCCAACCAGCCTCGTCAGTATATAAAGAGGTTTCTCTTTTCAATGCTTTTAAAACGCTCATTTAATCACTTGATTAGGGTAGACATCATAGTCTTTATACCTGCATCATTCTAGAATATCGTGTGTTTTCCCTTCAGAATTTTTTGTTGCGTTGTTGTTTTAAATTAGACTTAGCTTATTAAATTATAAAGAAATATAAATACAAATACCAAAACAAATATGAGGTTCATAAAATATAGAATTACAAAAAAAATTGATTTTTATAAATAAAATATTAGGTATACACGGGCAAAAAAAATGTAATAAATAATTGACAAAATTCAAAACTCCGGCTAAAATTATGCCGGATTTGCTAAATTTTTGCCGGAGCCGGATTTGGGCCAGATTTGTAAAAATGGCCGGATTTCGGCCGGAGCCGAAATCCGGTACACCCCTAATATATATATATATATATATATATATATATATATATATATATATATATATATATATATATATATATATATATATTTATATATATATATATATATATATATATATATATATATATATATATATATATATATATATATATATATATATATATATATATATATAATAACAATCCAGCATGCTTTTTTTGATATCATTGGACTTTGATGTTAAATTAACGATTGTTTGAGTCTTCTTAAATATAAAAAAATGTATATTGTTGAGCATTCTGTTTACTTTCTAATAAATATAGATATTCATTAAAATATTATTTGATGTGCTAATATTGTTTATTCTTGATATACATCTCATAATTTAAAATAATTATTATGGCCAAAATCCACTCTTTTAAACTTCCTTCAGAATTTTATTAGTCGTTGATAAAAACTTTGCACTTATTTGCGAACTGTTTATAACTATTTGAGAATTTTTATTTAAATTGTTATAAATATTTGAAAATTTGCGTAAAATGAAAAAGAAAAATGAGTATCTAATTAACTGCAATATTTCAGCAATAAAACAATCAAATTGACTAGAAATATTTTTGATAATATAACACAATATAAAATGATAGTAATGAATGAACAAAACATTTTAATAAGAGAAACTGCAAAACATTTTAACACAACACATGCCACTTTTAGCAGAATAATCAGCCAATATTGAAGATACAATACAATTTAAAATCTACAATGTCCTGGAAGACTTAGCATTTTGAATAAAAGAAGTGAATGTTCACTTATTCGCATAGTGAAAAAAAAAAGAAGTTTATCATCTACTGATCTCAGCCTAAAAAGACAAAAAGCTTCTGATATTGTTGCTTGTGCTCAAACAATAAAATTACTACAAAAACATAACTACATGTAGCGAGCTGTTTGCGAAGAAATACGTCTATTGATAAAATGTCAGAAAACAAGAAAAAACTAGTGTTTATTTTTTAAAATTTGTAACATTAAAACTATGTCTTAGCATGCCAATAGTCCAGATCTCAATTACATAGAGTGGTCTGTGTTAAACCACAATTTGAAGTAAAAGATCTGGACCAGCTGAAAAAATTAGTAACAAAATTACAGAATAATTTTCAAAAATAGAAGAAGTTAGTAAATTCCATGCCAAAACATATCAATAAATGCTGAAAAGCAAAGGATTGTCAACAAATATTAATTCTTTTTTTTGTTTTGTTTTTCAAGTGTTTTTTTATTAAGGTTTGTTAATTTTTTTGTGTGGTTTGTTTATTTTGGCCACTTTTTTTTGCCGTTGGCACAAATGGACACTTGTATTAATTTCAATATTTTAGCTTTTAATTTCTTCATTTTTTTATAATGAATTTATATTGCGACTATTTGATTTATTTCAATAAAAAAAATTTGGAAAAAATCACTTATATTTTATAAAATATTTAAATTCAAACTTTATTCTTACTAAAATAACATGATGGATTGTTCTTAATGGCCTATACTGTGTGTATATATATATATATATATATATATATATATATATATATATATATATATATATATATATATATATATATATATATATATATATATATATATATATATATATATATATATATATATATATATGTTAAAAAATACCTGTAAACATTAAAAATTAAATAACAACACTGGCTTTTATTTAATTTTACATAAATGTAAAGTGTTATTTTATTTTATGATTGTTAACAATTGATTTGCGTTAATTGTAAATAGTTGTATATGTAAATAGAGGTATTTGTATACAACATTAAGACATAATTGTAAATATCAAGAGAATTAGTTTGTATATAAATTATGCTGAATTGCATAAGAAAAATGAGGTGTTTAACGCTAAACTTATAAAGTCCTTTTTGATGTGAAACAAAAATATAAAAACATGACTCAATTAAAGAAACATGTTTTTCAATTAAAGAAACATTTCACACTTAAAGCATCAGATGTTATTATCTGATGATTGCCTGAGGTGTGAAGTCATATTTCTTTAATTACCAGGTGTTATTATTTAAATTTACATAATATAATTTGCTCTACTCTGTATTGAATAGAATAATATAACAGGGCACCAGATACTAATTAATTATTTACATTAAAAGGTAATGACTATAAAGTTTTATTTATAAAAGGAAAAAAACTACAATAGCATAGCTACAAAAATAAGATTTTAGTTGTCAGCAAGTCAGATTTAAATAAATAGTCTTATAGTTCCCAGATGAAAAAAAGTGACGAGTTGCTTTGTAATTTTAAAGAGATGAGTTTGAATTAAAAGTAAAAAAAATTGCCAATATATTTATATATGATTAACATAGTTGTATAGAGCTTAAAAAGAATTATAAGATAAAGGGTCTTTCAATTTTAGATGTTATTTGGATCTAAAGTTTTTTGCATTTTTTATGTTGGAAAAACTGATGATTTTTTTGACAAAACGACTTGTCCTTAAGTATGGAAAACTTCGCATGAAATGGCACCAAAATAATATTAAAAACCATCAAAAATCAATTCATCGATATGACTTGATTTGAAAAATTGACTTGAAAAATCAAGAGCAAAAATCAAAATAAACAATACGTAAAGGAATAAAAACATTATATACATAACTTTTAAACAAAATTCCTAAGTACCATTTATTCAAGAAAACATAAATACTTGTTTTAAATTGAGAAAAGGCTTTAATTGCTACTTCCACTTGAACATTTTCAAAAAACACTGTTTTTTCGATATAAATTAATCTTGGAGTTTTTATACACTGATAATTTTGAAATTTTGTATAAATATTAAAAAGGTTCCCTATTCCATTAGATTCCTTATCCTTTTTTTAAATCTATATAGAAATTTTCAAACAAATTTGGTGTGTTTTGGTACTTAGGAAAAAACTACTTTTGAAAAAAACATGTTCATGGCAAGTTTGTTTATTAAGTGGTCTTACATGAATAATATTATCATATTAAACATAGTACTTTCTATATACGGTTGGAAAGAAGTTGAATCAAACTAACTGACACAAAATCTCTCAAGGTTCTAGCTTTTTTTATAAAAAAAGATATGAGAGAAAAGTTCATGAAAACTATGCACTTTTTTGTCAAAAATCAAAGGTTTTTTGTTGCCCTCTGGAATCACTACCATAGTAGTGATTCCAGAGGGCAACAAAAAACCTTCCAGCATTTATAAGCCAATGTATTTGAAAAATCTGATAATCTAAATTGATATAAATAACCATAAACAAAATTTACACATTTAAATTGTTACAGTTAAGATGTTCTAGCATAAATATGCAAAGCTTAAAAATCTAATTTCATTTATTAAATTTAATTAAGTATAAATTAATATTGATGTCATTCTTCTTACAGAAGATTGAACAAATTAAAGGTATGTGCACATTTAAGTTGCACATGTGCACATTAAAGTTGATAACTTGACGGAACCACTTTTTCGAAGTAACTTAAAAGGTGGTGTAACAAGAACAATTTAAAAAAATAAACTCCACAATATTTAATTTATACTACAAAAAAGTACCGGTACATAAAATAGCAATTTTAATTTTTCATTTTATTACCAACTCATTGAAAAATTTACACCTAATTGAAATCACAGCTTTAAAATTTTTTAAAATTTTTATATAAAATTGAAAATATATAGCAAAAGTATAAACTGTAATACAGATTTAAATTGATTTTTCAGTTTTGCTTTTGTATAAAAATAAAGATAAATAATCAATTTTTCAACTAAAAATATTTTAAATTACAAAATTTTTTAAAACTTTATGTCTGAACAGGGTTGTATAAACTATAACTTTATTAGTTTCTCAGATCGCAAAGCGTGTTGAGACTAATTTTAATGTGAAAATTAATCTTCTTACAATAAAAGGCAGAGAATCATATTTCACATCACCAGCCATCTTATTTAATGTTTTTGATTATGAGTAATCGAGAATTATTTGGTTTAATGAGTCTAAGTTTTGGGAAGGATTTGTGAAAAATAGTAACCCGGATGATAACTATAAAAATGATTGGTTAACTATTTCATAAGCTAATTCTTTCCTGCAATCAGTACATTATAGGCGATCATACTAAAATATGTTTAATTCATTTACTTGAACGAGTGCTTAATAAACATCAATTTTTGTTTAGTGTGCAGTTTTTAAAATAATATTTGTAAAAAGAATACAGGCGGCATCAATACCCAGTCTCTACGCGTCGTGCATTTTCTCTTCTAGAGTTAGAAAGGACGAGACTTACTTTGAAAGTACATACTACAAAAATGTCTCATCTAAGTGAGCAAGAATTGGTCGATATGGCAAAATTAGCCGAGCAAGCCGAAAGGTACGATGATATGGTAAAATTTATGAAAGAACTTACTGTGAAGAGTAAAAAACTAAGTGATGAGCATCGTAATCTGCTTTCTGTGGCTTTCAAGAACGTAGTTGGAGCTAGAAGATCAGCATGGAGAATAATATCAAGTATAGAATCAAAACAGGACGAGAAAGGAGATTCGACTGAATTAACTACAAAGTACAAAAAAGAGATTGAACATGAACTTCAGGTATATGTCAAAGTCTAACTAATTTCTAAACACTATAATCTTGCATCCATTTTCTAATTTAAAAAAAATACATTAAAAAAAATCAATAATCAATTTAGACATAAGCTATTAACCCAAACACGTCAAAAATCAAAATCTCAGCAGACAGGTTGTCAAATGTTTAATATTATGACAGTTTGCAATATTGTCATCAATGTTTTATGAATAATACTTTATTTAGATAATTTAGTCCTTTAAAGTTAAGTAAAATTTGATGGTTATTAATACAATAGTCCTAATATTTGCATTTTAAAAGTATGATTATACAAGACAAAAATGTTTTCATGCACTTGCATTTTATTTTTATTATATTTTTAATTTAGCATGTTCAAGGATTTTCTTTTCTATCTGTAGATTTTATATAAGTATCTTATGCATGAAAACATTGTAAGCTTGTATGACCTAAATCATATCCTTTAAATCAGAATTTATAATTAGAATTAATAAATCGTCTTATAAAATACAATAATAAAACTATTTTTTAAATTAAAAAACAGTAATAAAACTATTTTATTCAAATGTTTCCAGTGTTTTGCCAATAGCAGGCGATCTGTGCTGGTTGTTTGTTATTTTAAACAATTTTTTTCTTATTTTTCAATTTTTTTAGGAAAGATGCAGAGAAGTTCTTGACTTATTAGACAACCATCTATTAGTTGAAGTGGATTCAGGATGTAATGGTGAAAATGGAAATTATGAGGGCAAAGTTTTTTATCAGAAAATGAAAGGTGATTATTACAGATATTTAGTAGAAGTTTCTAGTAATGAAAAGAGAAATGAATTGGCTGCAAAATCTCAACAGGCTTATGATGAAGCAACAAAAACTGCAGAGAAGTTACCTAACACTCATCCTATAAGCTTGGGTTTGGCACTCAATTTTTCAGTTTTTCACTATGAAATAATGAATGATAGCCCTAAAGCATGTGCTTTAGCCAAAAAAGCTTTTGATGGTGCTATTGCTGAGCTTGATAGTCTAAAAGAAGAATCATACAAAGACAGCACATTAATTATGCAACTCTTGAGAGACAATTTAACTCTATGGACATCTGAAACTGAGCAAGATGAACAAAACGAATAAAAATAAACTACTTATATCTAAAAATCAGCCATATTCTTGTTGAAACAAATAAAGTCCTTTAAGGTTACTTAGATTCATCTCGTTTTCTTGTTTCTTTTACGCCACCTACATTTTAAACATCCATATAATCGTCCAAGTGTGGAGATATTGGGAATTAGTTCAGTTATTTTCTATTTAAGCAAAAATTCAATGGACCTGTTTTTCGCTGTTTAACTTATAGTTTTTTATATATATTTCTGTATTACTATCAATTTTTTATGTTTCCTTGAATTTAGCTGTCATTTTAAGGGTATTTTTTGTTTCTAGAGATTAATAACACCAATTTTAAATAAGATTAAAGAAAATGTTTTGTTTTTTTGCATAATCTTGTAATTTTGGTATTAACTCATGAAATGGAGATAATTGAAAACTGGAGTTTAGTTTTGTATTCAATTTTTAAGTTTTTATATTGGAAAGCTCATAATACTGGTTAAATTTTTTTTGTTAATGCAATTCACTTAATGTTATAGAAGTTACTTCTGTGTGCAATTTTTAGAGACAGTTATTCTGAATGTTATTGAGATGGACTAGTACTCTTTATTTTACCAATGTAGCTAAAGTAAAATGGAATAGACACTTAAAGCTGTGATGTGTTTATTCAGCTCTTTGTTAATAGTATTTTGTTTTTATGTACATAAAATCTGCTAATATTACTTTTTGACATTATTTTTAAATAGAGGTTTGCATTAAAACAATTTAAAATTTTCTTTCATTGTATTTAGACCTTTTTAGTTAAAACTGCTCGTAGTATTTAACCTGATCTAAATTTGTTTTTTTGGGTACTTGTTGAACAATAACTTTACCTAATATGGGTGTGTAATTTGTAGTCTGAGTGATGGGTTTAACCAATTACTTTTTACATATCTTTTAACAAATCAATGGGTGACTGCACTGGTTTAACAGTTTTTTTATCCGTTTCGCTTCGTTGTAGTCGAAATAAATGCTAACTTAACGTATTAACTAACAGGCTTTTTATATCCATTTTACTGCGTTGTAGTCGTATTAAAAACGATATTTCGATCAGATGAATGTTTCAATCACAAAATAAACGCTAAATCAAATGTATGGCTTATTCAGTTTTATTTTGCTACATTTGATTTTATTTTTGAAAATCTATATTTAAGCGCATTAAAATTTAATAGTTACTGATTGGACTTAACTTTAACAGTAATTGTTTATAAATGTTAATTAATGCAGTGAAACTTGAATCAGTATAGCATTATATTATCTAATTCGAAATTATATTTTTTCTAGAAAATAAATTTAAAAAAATTCACTTTAAAGAGAGGGTCTAGTTTAACGCGATTCTCTTTACGTGATTTTCATTGGGAGTAAAAATTGCTATCAAAATATTATGACGAAAGTTGGCGGAAACAAAATACAGCAGCATTATCGAGGGATCATCCTTAAATTAAGACAAAGTTTTTCTCGCAGAGCCTAAGGTTTCTTTACGCATGCGTAGAAATATTTAAAGTTGCAATGAATAAAGAAAAAAAAAGAAATTTAGCATTGTTAAGTATGGATGCTTTCCGCTCGCTCTTTATTTAACAGTTTGCGCTTGCTCGGAAATTTCTGAATAAAGAATCGGCATATAAATTACGTAACACAAACTTTCACAATAAATAAAACAACAGTAAAGATCAAAGGTTTTCCCCTCGCAGAGTCATAATTTAAATTAAAAAAAACAAACAAAATAACCTATTAAGTTTAATGAAATTCGCTGCTTAAATCTCCTACTTTTTACCTTCTACTTTCCTTCTTTTCTGTTAACCTCCTGTTTTTAAAATATGTTTAGCGTTGCGTAATTTAAGGACGATCCCTTATTTTAAAACATGTTTATTAAATTCTATTCCTCAATAATGTAATTTTGTAAGTATGTCGTTTTACTGATGTTCTTCACTTTGCTGTTGTTTCATTGATGTTCTTTATACATAGACATTAAATTACTTATTATTTTTGCAGAACAAAAAAGTAGATCTTGTGTGATATTTTTATAAAACTATTTGTTTTGATGTCAATGTTGTTATTTGAACCTCAAAAAGATAGATAACTAGCTTTTGGTTGGAAAAAATTAAAAAATAACTTTAAACTTTTCTTAATTTTCAAAGCCTGTACAAAGTTAAAAGTAGACTAAGTTATGTTTGAATCTACCTATTTTGAATTTAATAAAAGTGTGAGTTTAATAACACTATGTTTGCATGCAGGGCCGTTCCTAGTTGAGTGTAGAGATATCAAACCCTAATGCCCTCCTCTAATTAGGGACTGAAAAAATTAGTTAGCAAGTTTAGATCTTTTTGGAAAATGTCAGTAAACGAGAATTTTTTTCTTTTTTAATATTTTTTATTCGTTTGTCGGCTAAAAACAGGTACATCACCCTCCCTTTTTAAGATCTCTCTGGGACAGCCATGATTGTATTGGTTTCTTTACATTACTTAATAATACTAAATATTTGTATGGGTTTTTTACTTAAGGGGTATGCCCCCCAATAATTTAAGAAATATTTTGAATTTTTACAAAAAAATAATTTAATCTAATATAAAACTGTAAGCATAAACTATTTTTTTTTCTCCTCGGCTGCTAATTATATTTCAGGGGCGGATACAGCATTTTTTAGTGTTTGAGCTAACTTACTGACATGTAGCAAACACCAAACATTTACATATTTATACTTATGTCAAATAAAGATGCTTAGCAAAAATTGCGATGATTACAAGCTGGGAATAAAAAAACCCTGAAAATTTGGCAACAACTGCCCCAAACGTGTTTTTTACTATTCTTAGCTAAAGTTATATTCATTGATGAATTTTAAATTTTATAGTATATATAGCCTCTCAACATTCAAAAATTATAACCATATAAAATTTAAATCCCCTTCATTTTGAGTGGGTTACAAATTTTATATGGTCAAACCTTTTGAATGTTTATAGATTATTGTATGAAATTTAAAATTTATCGATAAGTATAACTTTAAATTATTTCAATACTTCAATTATTTCAATAAAAGAAAAAAAAAAATTTTTATTAACTTGTTGCTCTCACGTTTGGGACGTTGTTGCCAAAATTTAGGGCTTTTTTGTTCCCAGGCTCCAATCGTCGCAATTTTTTGCAATGCATCTTTATTTGACTTGGATATAAATGTTTGAAGTTTGTTCCTTGTCTCAAATATCGAAAAATGCTGGAGCCGCCCATGTATTTGTATAACAAATAGCTTTTTTTTTTTAACATTCTAATACAAACATAACAAATTATTAGTCGTTATGAGTTGAAAAAATAAGTTTATTTATAAAGCAAAATAAAAAATATCTTTTAAATAGGATAAAAATATAAACACCTTTCCGAGTACGAAAGTTTCTTGGTTGATAAATTGATACGTAATTAGTTCAAATTCTAAACTATGTTTTTCATAATATCAATTTTATACTACCAATAAATTTATATTTATAAATTGAATATTCTCCTCAGTTTATTGTCAGTTTGGAAATAAAAATTAAAAGAATTCAAAAAGAATAAAAAGAAAATTGCTAATCTTAAAGAAACATTTTACTTGGATTCACATAAATATGTTGGCACACGATTTAATATACCGGATATATAGTTCAAATACGTATAAATAAACTTGATAATTGTAGGCAGAATTTTACTTTCTATTTTTCCTTTTTTGTATTTATAAAAAAGATTTAAACCGATGAATGTGAATAAAAAAGGTGAATCGGTGAGGTGAATGAAAAGCGCGGAATTCTAATAATGTAAATTTTCGGGAAACTAAAAAAAACTGCTTTTTCCTCCGTAGTAAATTTTTATTAATTGTTAAATTTTTTTTTTTTTGAAGGTGAAAAACATTATCCTCTTTAAAAAAAAAAAATTATTAAACCATTAACAAAAATTTACTATGGGGGAAAATGCAGTTTGTTTTAGTTTCCCGAAAGTTTTTATACTTGGGCTTCTGCCCTTTTAACATTCACCGATTCATTTAAGGTTTTTATAGTTTTAATTGGTTTTACGTTTTTATTTTTTTGATTAATAAAAGGGCATAAAATTATCTGTGTTTAAGATAAGATTTCTTAATAATGTTTTATAAAAATTCAGGTTATTCGATTTTGTAAATTTTATTTTTTTGGTTATTATTTTGTTTTACTGATAAGGACCACGATATGAAATAGAGAAGCGAGAGAGATTTGTTTTTTTAAATCGCTATTATGAAAAAAATTTATTGAGAAATGCAGTGAAAAAAGTCCAAGTTTTAATTTTATCATAAGCATCAAATTTTGGAGTATGTTACTTATACAGATATTTAATGCTTTTAAGAGTTTTAAAATTGGCTCAGTATGTGAGAATTTATCTTTGTTATACATTATTTTTATAGCATGCTTTTAATTTCTATAAAGTGTGACTAATTTGGATTTATGAGAACTTGCCCATGCAATGTTGGTGTATATAAAAAAGCTTTGTATAAAAGAGAAATAAAGAAACCTTAAATTTTTTAGAGATAGCAAAGGACTAGCTTGGTATAGTATACTAATGTTTTTTGATATATTTTTATTTAACATATATCAAAAAACTATTAATGTGCACTTTATCTTTTCTTTTCCATTTTTTTAAATAGCATTAAAGATTTACGAATGATATATAGATGTCGAACGAAGATTTGTGTCAAACGCTTTAGATAACTCAACAAAGATTCCAAATTGAAAAAAAAAAATTCCAAGTATGAATTTTTTTACTTTCAAAAGAGTCATTTATTTTATTTACAAGATTTAAAATTGCCTGTTCGGTTGAGTGTAGCTTTCGGAAACCGAATTGTTGTTTAAATAAGATTTTGTTATTTGTTAGATGTTTATATAATTTATTAAAAATAATTCGCTCTTAAAATTTTGACACGAACAATTGAGATAAGACTGTAACTATTTAAAGTAAATGAATTCCCGGTTTTTTATATTGGCACAACTTTTACTATTTTTAATTTATCCGGAATATTTATCCGGGACATATTCAGTAATAATCGAAGATTTAGATATTTCAAAGATGGGTTTTTTTTATCATTAGGAAAATATTTATAACTACATTGTTACAAGTTTCGTCAATGCCTGGAGCCTTAATCTGGCAGAAAATTCGATTTTGTATAGTTTTTCCAATAATTTCTTTCAAAACGCTCGAAGTTTTTTTTAATAATGCCATTACCTTTTCTTAATTCTTTTGAGTAATATATTTTTTTTGAATTCTTTTTAGTTTTTTCAAATAGCATTTGGCAGCCAAATATTTGGTGACTCAAAACCACTATTTGCGATATCTCTCGTTATGATAATACATGCTTTTGGTTTTGAACAAACAAAAATAAAAGATTGGAAAGTTCTAACGTCTATTTGAAAGTTTTAATAGTATACCAATAGTGACATACTAATAAATATAGATAATAATTGTTTCATAAATATGTAACGATATACCATCATGCTAGACATTGCTCGTACTGTACGTACGAGCAATGTCTAGCATGATGGTATATCGTTACACAACAGTTCAACTTGTTTTATTAGTATGCCATTAGTGACATTTACATAGATATCATTACGCATTTAGTATGTACCACAGACATTTAGCACGAGTTGATAGTCACATTAATTTATATTTAAAGCTTTTAACTATAGTTAGGAACATTATAATAAGAAGCAAAATAGGTTACATATAATTGAAAAAATATATTCGTTTTAAAAGTTATATAAATATAAATAAATTTTAATGTTACATAATAATGAAATAATGAAAAGATAAAAGGTTTTTAAGATTTTCACTCGACTAAATCGATATTTAGTCGATTAGGAGGAAGTCCATCGTCAATTAAATTGACTATTCGTTATTTCTTAATCGATTTATTTTGATTTGTCGACTTTTAGTCGATTTAGTTGAAATCGATTACAATGCAACAAAAGTTAGCAATAGTTAAGTAAAAAAAAATGCCAACCAGTTAGAAATATTTGTGAAATATAATGATTCATTATTGACAAAACATTAAAAAATCAAATTTTAAGCCACTTTTTTTTTAAAAATACTACTTTATTTTTCACACACACACACACACACACACACACACACACACACACACACACACACACACACACACACACACACACACAAACACACACACAAAATAGTTTGTTCTTTTTTAAATTTTATTTACTCAAACCTTTAACCGATAAAAATACAAATTTTTAAAAATTAGTCTACTGAAAAATGTTTAGTATTATTAAATTATTAAAATTTTTATTATGTTATAATAAAAATTTTAATAATTTAATAATACTAAATATTTTTCTTTTTTTTATGTTAATAATTTAATAATACTAAATATTTTTTTTTTTAATGGAGGGGGTCCAGAATTTGAAGTTACGCCACTGCGCCATTGGCGCTCTCGAAGGCCCTGCATTCAAGATTTCATTAATTTCTTTACTTTATAAAAGCAGTATTTATCGAAATTGCACAATTTTATTTTATTTTTATACATACAAATGTTATCTGCGTTTAGGGTAGATTAGGGTAATATGAGCACCTTGGTAATATGAGCATACTTAAAGATTTATTAGATGTATGCAGTGAAGTTAAAGTTGCTTTATGTTTTTCGAATCAACTTCATATGGTGATAACAGGAATCAGTACAATTAGCGTAAATTTATACACAGTAATTAGCGGATATCATCTAATTAAAACGCTTTTAAATTTTTTGCTTTGTTAAAAAAAATCATCACGCGTGAATAATTCTGTGGCGCGATATTTTGGTGCTAAAATAATGAAATTAACTTTTTCATAAAGAAAAATATATTAGCTAAAAATCCAATTCATTTTTGTTTGAAAAATAATTCATAGAAACATTTATTTTTGACTTTATTTAAAGATATCATTTTTGTGTAATATGAGCATGCTCAAATTATCCAGTGCTTTTCATTGAAATTGCTTAGTTTAAAGTCCTAAAATAGCAGTGCTTTTTAATTGCTTCTTGAATAAAAACAAAACATAGTAAAAAATTTTAATACATTAACAATACTAAATATTTTTCTGTAACTTAAATCTAAAAAAATTTAATTTTTATTGTTCAAAGGTTTGAGTTAACAAAATTGAATAAACAATGTATTAATTTTTTTTTTTTTTGCGGAAAACATAGTAGTATTGTTTCAACAAAATGTAGCTTAAAATTTGATCTTTTAATGATATGTTTTGTTAATCACGAATCCTTATATTCCAACAATTAGTTCTATTAAGCAGGTTGGCCTTTTTTTACTTAATTAATGCTATTTTTTTGAGCTAATTTAGAGTGCTCATATTACCAAGGGGACAGGGTAATACGAGCACTTTTGCTACTTTTTTAAAACCTCTGTGTTTTTAAGAAAAAATGTCAAGTGCCCAAATATCTAAATAGATTATGAATAGGGATCCCTAAAAATTGTTTATTTTCAAAAATTTTGGATCCAGCATATTTATTTTTGAAAATATTCCAATTTTTGCTTAAGGTGCTCATAATCTACCCTACAGCTTCTGATGTCAGATATTTATTCCAAATATTTATAACTCGTTGAGAAAAACATTTAAGAATGTCGAGTTGACATCGTTGCTTGCAAACCTTATGAGTACTTATAAGACTGCAGGTATATAAATTTTTGGTAATTTCAAAAAACAATTTTTTATCTTTGCAAACTAAATGATGCATAATTTTTAAACATTTAACTAAAGCGTGTACTCGAAATAAATGTGAACGAATAAGTACGTCATTTTTTTTCATTGTTTATGTTAAAATCTTTTTAATTGTTTTGTATTTTGTTTACAACGTGTTTCAAAAAAATGTATTAGTTTTTTGATTTAACTTAAAATTAGTTTTAAAAATGACAAAAGAAGAAGACATAAGAGAAAAAATTATGCACAAATATTTGGAAAACTCCAATAGTAGCTACAATTCGATAGCAAAAGCGTTGCAAATACATCCATACACCATTAGTCGTGTAATCCAACGTTTTTCTCAAATAAAATCGATAAAACATAAATCTGGTGGTGAAAGAAAGAAGGGTTTTAAAGATAAAAAACTAGTTAGAAAACTGGTTAACAGTTTTAAGTCTAACCCAAGCCTTTCACTAAGGGAGCGCGCAAACATTTATGGACTTTCTCATAGTTTTGTTGTAAAAGTTTGAAATAAACATGGTTTTCATTCTTTCAAAGCACAAAAAGTGCCCAACCAATCTGAAACTTGACGATCTGAAACTCAAAAGTGCAAAAACCCGCTGCAGAAAGTTGTATGACAATTTTATTTCTAAAAATTTTTGTATTATTGAAGACGATGAATCTTATATCAAGTACGATCATCAGCAAACTCTTGGTGCCATCTATTATATTGCCAAATGTAGAGGAAAAGTAGATAAGAAATTTAAATACATAAAACATGACAAGTTTGCTAAAAAAGTCTTGATTCACGGTCGCACAGTGGGCTAATTTTCAAAAAAGCTGGCCAAAAGTCAAAAAAAAAAATCATTATTTTGAATTTACTATTTTGAAACTACATAAACAAAGCCCTGGTGCATTTTATTGTATAATAAAAAATTGTATAAATTTTAAAGTTACCTATATCTACGCAGTTATTAAACATCTGTTATTAAAAACACTTAATTGGCCTTTTAAAAACAAAAACAAAAAATGTGGTTAAATAAGTATCGTTTACAAAAAAGTTATTTATCGTTACTAAAAAACTAACTATGGACGATACTATTCAAGGTATTTATATAATATTTTAGTAAAAAGTTTTATATTATTTCTCTAAATTTTCTGCGAAAAGTGCGAACAAAAAAGTACAGAATAAAGTTTATTTATTTTCTTTAACCTATTTTTCAAGCATTGAAAAAGTAGTGAACCCGCGAGATTCCGCTTAGTTATAATTTGGATGTTGTTCATAAAAGTGTATTCTAAAGATTGGTTAAAAGAAAAGGCACCTATTTTTGCCTATTACTTCATTAACTTATATTGTGTAGTGCTAGTCGTGTTTTTTAGTAAACAAAATGACGGTGTTTTGTTTTCTTTACAAAATCAGTCAAATTGTTATATAGTTATTATGTTTCTTGAGAAACTGATTTTGTTAAGTGCAATAAAACTACAATAAAATTAGTAGCACACATGAATGAGATTTTGACAAAGTTAGAGTGTAGGGAGGGGGGGAGAGACAAACTCCCTCGGTTACGACGTCTTTTTTACCTCAGCTACGATGATTTTTGTATAGTTTTATTGAATTTTACAAAATCAGTTTCTCAAAAAACATAATAACTATATCTATATACAATCATATGATTAACAGTATATTTTACCTTTCTCTTATATATCGAATTTATATAATATAATATACTATCGATTACTTTTTATTTTATTTTTAATTAGTTTAGTAAGGTTATAATATTTTTATGATTTTTTCAATTATTATATTTTCAATTAATATCTAAGGTTCACAAAAAAATCATTTGCAAATTCCTTGAAATTTTAAAAAACGAGTTATCTTCAGATCTAGATGACCAGCTTGTTATTTTGCAATCACAGTTGTGTCTAAGAAGAAAAATTTGTTTCCAATTTTCAACAGGTGATAAAAAGAAACTAAAAAATGTATTGACAAAAATAAAAATAAAATGGAAAAGTAGTAACCGAACAAAAAAAATATTTTTGAAGACACATGACACTTGGTTAAAAGCCTCAACAAATATTTGTGTAAGTTATTTAATGCTTATCTCTATTAAAGTTTTAAAATTTTTTTATATTTACTAAACATTTAAATAATTTCAGATTGTTCAAGCACGAAACAAAGAGAAAAAAAGCCATAGTGCAATGGGTCGACCACCTTTGAACTTTGATGAAGCAAGTGAGCGAACGAAACGGCAAAAAACAGAGGAAATGCGTTCGACATTTAGTTCATCCGAGTTAGCATTTGCTTCTCAGATGAGTCTTCGGGCTTCAGGATCATGCAATGCCGGAGTTACAGTTAAAGATTTACCTTCCACCATTCAACACCGAGTCGCAAATTATATAGAGAGCCTTAAATTGTCCCAAATTTCACAAACATCTGAACTATGTGCTGAAACAGCTCTTTCCATACTAATGGAAGCAAAGCTTTCTAAACACCAATATTGCATTATAAGAAGTGCTGCAATTGCGAGTTCCACAAGCGTGGTCCCCGACATGTAATTGAGAAGTCAGATTTTTTAAGTAATGTTAGTGGGATTTAGTAATTATTTATTGAGTGTCTTATTTTATATTTATGATTAATAAGAGAGAAGTTTTTATAAAGATAATTTGGAGTTAATTTGTTTTGAAGTTTAAACATAAATAAGAAATTATGGTAAATGTTTAATTTGTATACATTTAGGACATTTATTTCCTTGAGTAATGGCTTGGCATATTTGTATCTATCCATGCCTGAAACTAATCGACTTGCTTGCTTTTGTTTTGTATAAATAGGTTTTCAGAAAGATGGGTGATTATTTGCCCAGGCAATATTACAATAGTTAATATGACTATGTATAAAGGAAAAATATAAATTTCTTAAACATATTTTATTCAAAAGAGGTTAGTCTTATACATTGTCCATTGTCCAAGTCTTTGAGACTTTGTTTTCGACTAGCGTTATTTGGCTTTTCCAATTTAAATGTTTGTTGAAAAAGCTCTTTTTTTAAAAAAATTGTTAATAGCTAGTTCTGGTAGTTTAAGTGTAAGGTTCTTGGATTTGGATGGTTTAACAAACAAAATATATTTTGTTTTTTTAATATTCAATGAAAGTTTATTTGCTATAAACCACTCATTGAGATATGTTAGTTCTGTGTTTACATTACAAAAAATATTTTTTAAATTTGAGTCAGAAAAGAAAACATTAGTGTCTTCATCAAAAATAATATAATTAAGTATTTTTGATGACAAATAAATATCATTAATTTAATTTAAAAACAGCAAAAGTCCAAGTATTGATCCTTGTGGAACTCCACAATTTACTGACTCAAATGGGGAGCATGTTAAATCAAATGGTAATACTTATTTACGATTTTCTAAATTGATACCATTTTGTTGAGGGGCACATTTGTAGTACTATATTTCAAATGCCTCACAAACTTTTCTAGCAAACTTTTTAGCATCAACTTTTAGAGTTCTGCAACTGTCTCAGTTAATTTGTTGCGCACAATGTTTCATGTATGTGGCTAATGCAGATCGTTCTGTTTTATTTCCTATTGTACTATTTTTGTGTGCATGCATGTTTTTATTTGCATTTTTGTTTCACCTATTCACTTTTTGCTACAATGACATTTAATAAGGTAGACTCCTGGGTGGCTGTTCATTTGTAGTTTAGATTTATTTTTTGATGTTAATATTGTCTCCAGGTTCAAGTTTGATTTGAAGATCGTTTTATATCCTGCCTTCCTAAACACTTTACGCAATTTTGGAGACAATTTTCGTACCCAAGGTAATGAAATGGTTGGATACGTACTGGTGATGTTGTCAATGTTTTTAGTAGTCACTAGAGATTTTTTGTACTTTTGTTTTATTACTTTTATAATTTTTATGAGATTAGACTGTTTGTAGCCATTTTCGACAAATACTTGATTAAGGAATTTCAGTTCATTTTCTATATCTTTCTGACTGCATACATTCAATGCTCTATGTACAAAACCCTTAAATATTCCATTTAAAAATTAACAAGATCATTCATTCAAAAGTTGAAAAAAAAACTTTTATTTTCAATTTTTATTGACTTTTAATTATTCAGTTAGTCTCTAGTTAAGATTTTTCAATAATGTTTAATAAAAATGTTTAATAAATTATTTTAATAATTTATTTTTTACCTTTTTTACCATCTTACGAAAAACTTAAAGAAGCCAAGAAAATGTGTTACCCTGAAGATATAACCGTAACTGAAATAAGCGCCGAAGTAAAACTGCAATCTTTAAATCACACTTGTTTACGAATTATAAAAACTCAACAAGATGTAATTGGCTCCTTGAATGTAAATATTTTATCAAATTTTATTTTAATTCTTAAGTGGGGGTTTGATGGCAGTTCCGGTCATAGCGAATATAAACAGAGATTTGCCGATTGAAGAAACTCAGATGCAAATGTTTTTCTGACTTCACTTGTACCATTACAACTTTTGTGTACAAATTCAGTTTTAGGTAAAGATATTATTCTATGGAAAAATAGGACACCCTCATCTACTCGATTTTGCCGACCTATCAGACTGCAATTTCTTCACGAAAATGTCCATACAAGCATTAATGAAAAAGACTATATTGAAGATAAAATTAAATCACTGGTTCCTCTCATCATTGTTCAACATAAAATAGAAATTAAAATACATTATAAATTGGTTATGACAATGATTGACAGAAAAGTTTGCAATGCAATAACATTGACGAAATCAACAATGCGGTGTTATTTGTGTTCTGCTACTTCGAGTCAATTCAATAATATCAATTTTGTTAAAGAAATAAAAGTTGACGAATCAAAATTGGAATACGGTTTATCAACGTTGCACGCATGGATTCGCTTTTTTGAATGTTTTTTGCATCTTGGGTATAAACTTGGAATAAAAAAATGGCAAGCACGTTCTGACATTGAAAAAAATTAATATTAGAACAAAAATTGTTAATCCAGAATGCTTTTAAGCTGCAGCTAGGGTTAATAGTTGATCGACCGAAACCAGGATGCGGTAATACAAATGACGGAAATACAGCTCGAAGATTTTTTAAAAACTCACAAGTGTCTGCTGACATTCTAGGAGTGGATTTAGAACTAATAAATCGGTTTCATGTAATTTTACAGGTATTATCTAGTGGCTTTCCTATAGACGCAGACAAACTTGATAACTATTCTACCGCAACTACTTTTTGTTGAAAAGTATCCTTGGTGCAACATGCCTACAACAGTACACAATGTACTTATTCATGGAGCCTTAATAACAAAAACAGCAATACTACCCATAGTACAACTATCTGAGGATGCACAGGAATCGAGAAATAAAGACTTAAAAAAATATCGCGAAGATTTCTCTAGGAAAAATTCCAGAAAAAATACAATGCATGACGTTTTTTGCAGACTTCTGGTTTCGTCAGATCCTGCAATATCTTCACTTTTAAAATCTCATGCAAAAGTTAGCAGATCTTTGTCTTCTCAAGTTTTACAAATGTTATTACCTCCGGAGATTAACGAAAACTCTGAAACTCATTCGTCTGTGATTGAGTTTATCAACAATATTTCAATAATAAATGATTCAGATGACAGTGGTGATTTATTTTAAAGTAATATAAATGAAACAATTATGATAAATGATGCAAATAAAAGTTTTCCTTGTTTTCTTTGAACAAATAAATAAGTAGAATAAATAATGAATTTTTCAATTTATCTTTGTTAACATTGCGGCATAATAATACGGTCATAATACATTATATAGGGGTCGTCCATAAATTACGTCACGCTATAAGGGGGGAGGGGGTTGGTGGTTTTGTGACGACTCATTCAAAACTCGCTTTTAAGTGTTACGATTTTGTGACGAGGGGGGGGGGGGAGTTCGAAAATGGTCAAAAATTGCGTGACGTAATTTATGGACGACCCTATATCGGTATTATACATAATGTTTATATATGTCATGTAAATAATACATTAGCCTATTGAACTTAAATGTCGAATTATAACTAATTGGTTAAACACGAAGGCCCAAAGGCATTTTTAATGATTATTGTTCTTTCAAAACACCGCCATTTTGGATCTGCCAATATTGAATTTTGGTACACTTATGTTCAATTCAAAGTTTGGGATTCAAAAAAATGCTATACAGAAATTTTCCATTAATTATAATCATTTTTTGACTTTTGGCCAGGTTTTTTGAAATTCCGCCCACTGTGCGTCGTTTAGATATTAGTAAAAAGCGCTATGTTTAGGTACGCATGCGTAAGAAAATAAAGAAAACTTTTGAACTTTTAAAATGGCTACGATTAGTTTTTACCGTTATGACTATTTCCTAATATATATATATATATATATATATATATATATATATATATATATATATATATATATATATATATATATATATATATATATATATATATATATATATATATATATATATAATAAAATTAAAAAACACTTCAATATATCATTAATATAGAACCTATTTATCATAGAACCTATTTTATAGGGTTTTTCTAAAATGAACATTTTTGAACAATATATGCTTATTTTTACCTGCAGTACCAGAAATCAGCTAAATTGCTAATATTTGTTTGTAATATATATATTTTTAATTATTCACCTCTACACCGACTACAAATGAGGAGGCTACATTTGTGGTTACAACCCTTTCTATAATGAACCTCAACAGACACGGCCGCTGCATGAGAAATAAGTTGACAACATGCCTATAAGGATACTGTGTTAGACTAACTATATTATTTTGATTAGGAAAATGGCTAAACAGTTATATATTTTTTTAAAAAATTTTAAGATTTTTGCCTCTAAAAAATTATTGAATTTGGGCGGATCCAGGGTGTCGCGAATGATGCGCATGCATCAGTCTTTTTTCAACGCTAAATTTAAGTGTATCTCTTTTTCACTTTTTTATTATAAAAAGTAAAAGGAGAAATTGGAATCTGGCATCAAAAAATTCATAAAAATGAAGTTACTTATAATAAACTAATAATATTACTAATTTTGTGTAAACAGAGTGTTTAGCCAAAGTTGTATAAAAATATTTGTCTTTTTGATTTGGAAAATGGCTAAACAGTTATATATTTTTTTAAAAAATTTTAAGATTTTTGAGGCAATATATAAAAGGATACTGTGTTAGACTAATATATATATATATATATATATATATATATATATATATATATATATATATATATATATATATATATATATATATATATATATATATATATGTATATATATATATATATATATATATATATATATATATATATATATATATATATATATATATATATATGTATATATATATCTATACATATATATATATATATATATATATATATATATATATATATATATATATATATATATATATATATATATATATATATATATATATATATATATATATATATATATATATATATATATATATATATATATATATATACAGGGGCGGATCCAGGGTGTCGCGAATGATGCGCATGCATCAGTCTTTTTTCAACGCTAAATTTAAGTGTATCTCTTTTTCACTTTTTTATTATAAAAAGTAAAAGGAGAAATTGGAATCTGGCATTC